TTCTTTTGGCCTGGCATGGCTGAGACTGATGCCGAAAAGAGTAAACGGATTGTGAATCCTGCTAGGCTCTTGAGGAGCAGCTCGAAGGCCAAAGCCATAAGCTACAGCTCCTAACGATGAAACCTTACGTGTGATTTAGGGTTTAAGTTTAGGGTTTAGGGTTTAAAGTTTAGGGTTTAGGGTTTAGGGTCTAGTTAGGGTTTAGGGTTTAGGGTTCGAAAGCCTGAGAGCGACAGCCTTAAACCGATGTTGCGGAGGACGACATCCACAAAGCAGTCTACGGCTAACAGCCAGGCCAGGCCATCACGGATGCGAAAGCATTGAATGCTGGTTGACTGCTAGGGCTTTCGCACTTGATGGATGCGCGGTCGAGGCATGTTGAAGGTCCAAGGAGTAAGACTGTAGGTTTCTTGCTTTCCAGTGGCGAAGGTTTAGGTGAAGGGTGTAGAGGGCCAAAACCACCGTTTTGGCAGACAGGGGAGTTCTGTTGTAGAGTCTAGGGGTTCAACTGGCTTGATTTCTTTGTTTGCAGTTTAGGGCTGCGGCATCTAAGGTTTAATGGCATTGAGTTGTTCAAGGACTAATCGGCGCTGAGAGTTTCAGGGCATTGTGAGAAGGAAGGAAAGTACCACAACTTCCATTGTTTTACCTACGGTCATGCAGGACCTCGTGCATGAAAAGTAGCTCCTCCGCAAACCTCAAGTCTCACGTCCGCAAACCGCACACCTCCAAATCCCTGCTTCAGAGCCGATTCCAAATGTCTGCGCAGGCACCAGTCGCGAGCTGCGCCGGCGCAAGAGAAAAAACTTTCCCAACCATCTGCTTTTGTGGATTGCAGTTGTCTCTGCTGGAGGTGGGTGTGGTGCGTAGTGATATAGTGAAGTGAAGAGCAAATATAGGTGCAGCTTGTGAGGTGTTCGATTTCGGCTTCTGAACAACCATGCTACAGGCGTGTTTCTGAGTTTGGGAGATAGGGTACGTGCTCGCGCCCCTTACTCGTTGACGAATACGCAGCGCGGAGAACGCGGGTTGGGGTACTCGTCATCATCGTCATCCTTCACCATCGCCACAACCATCAATATATAGTCTGAATCTGAAACAGACTGAAACATGGTATCGCACATCGCTACCAGGACTGCCGCTGTGATTGCACACAGAAGGTAAGGAAGAAGCACAACAGTCGCAACAAAGCTGAAAACCAGCCTTAGCAGCGAAGGCTGTCATGCCCGAAACCCTGAATCCAACGCCCTGAGAGCTAAATCTTAAATCCTGAACCCGAAGCCCCAAGCAGAAACCCTGAACCGAAAGTGCTGAACTCTCATAAACCCCCGAAAAAGCCAGGCCTTCACAAACCCCGGAAACCCCGGAAACGCCGGAGGACCAGCGTGCAGAGGCGAAAGAAGACGAGGAGCCTCCTTTGCTGTGTCTCGGCAGCCTCGAGGGTGTTAATGCTGGGGTAGGGTTAGGGTTTAGGGTTTAGGCTTTGGGGTTTGGGGTTTAGGGGTAGAGAAATTGTCGGGTTCGGGGCTTAGGGAAGTCCGGGAAGAAGGACCCTAGGCCTGTAGCCCGTTTTAGGGTTCAGGGCTTCAGCTTTGGAGTTTCAGGTCAGTTCTAACATTGCAAAAGCCGTTTCATCAAGACTTTTCGGGAAGGGGGTTTGGACCTTGGTAGTCTAGGCTGGTCCAGGGAAAACCGGCAAAAACCAACAGCAAGAATACCAGAAGAACCCAAGTACTAAAACCAGCAAACTTTTGACACTCCAAGGCTCCTCCTCCGGGGTTTGCTAAGGAGTTTGACTCTAGTCCACTCTAGTTTCTCTAAACGGTCCAAAGAAGCAGTTTCCCTTCCGATGGCTTCTTAAGTTAAGCTAAATATGAGCTGGGTTTTCTTGTTTTCAACCCAAACCTGTTCATCTGTTGAATCCTATTGAATTCGAGAGGGAAACACAAATAAAGATAGTTACTTCAGAGTTTCTGTGTCACTCGAGGCTCGACGGTGCTCCAGGCGTCGAGCCAGTGCAGGTGGATGCTGTGGTGCGGGAACCCGGAAAGCCTCATAGGGGCCAGAATAATTAATAATCATATCCCCCTCTAGTCTGTTTATGGCTGTAGTACAGTACACCCTTCCTCATTACTATTCCTTTATGGTCGCCTTTGTCGTATTAGTGACAAGATCTTCTTCTGGTGCCTGCATATGTACAGTGTAAAAAAACTCCAAGGCCTTACTGTAGTTATAAGGCCCTCAAAGTACATGTAGGTTGACCTCCTTAGAGCCGTCAAACGGAGCTCGCTGAATGGACATGAAATCTTTCTGATGAGCGTGGAATAATGGCAAATCCATGTATATCTGCGTAGAGTATATGTACATACATATGTGCATATAATACATATATATATATATATATATGCATACTTGTTGGATTGTTTATGTGTATGTACGTGTATGCATACTCCGAAGATGCATGCATGCAAGCAGGTGACTTCCTCTGTAAGCAAGTATGATTTGCACAAAGATCCGTGTGTTCCCATGTGTTCTTTGAGGATCGCCGTGGAAAATGGGTGGTCGCTGAGGTTCAGTCAGGCACATCGCCGGAGTGATTCTATAGTTACTATGTATGAACTTCCCACGCCTCGAACACCAACCAGGACCTAGATCTCAAAGCCTGGAGGGCCCTTGACCCTAAACCCCAAGCCATGTGCCGCTATGTCGCAACTCAGGTCTTTCTTAAGGCGCTCTCGCAGGAGGAGCAGGGCCCTTTCACGCAGGACAGGGACAGACCTCGGCCTTGTGTTCAAAAGCGTCGAGGCTTGTGGACTGCCAGGCTTTAGGGTTACTTGGTGTAGGAACCAGGACTCAGGATTGAGACTCCCGCAGCTTGCTATGTTTCTTCTCCTCAGAAGACGACGACAGCGATGAAGGCCTCGACGACTACCATGGCGACGACGATGAACACTGACCTGTCACGCCCGGCATGGTTGCCACATTTTCCGAGATTACCCTTACTTTTGGCACGGGTGCACTGATTGGGAGGATTTTCTGGCGAAGCTCATCGTCATCCTGCACTGGTGGGCTGTGCAGAGCTTTGGGTGTTCAGCTTTCGGCTCATCATTGCTGATTGTCTTTTTGCTAGCAGTGGCAGCGTCAGTGGTGTTGAGGTGATAGAGTCGGCAGCAGCAGCAGCAGCAGCAGCAGGAGGAGGAGGAGGAGGAGGAGGAGGAGTAGTAGTAGTAGTAGTAGAAGTAGTAAAACCCTACAAACGGCCCGTCGGCGCAGGTGGGCGGACGTCGATCTCAGCAGCCCACTGGCAGTGGTTCCCGAAGATGGCTTCCAGGAGACTTCCTATGACTAGACATTCAAAGCATGCACCGATGTAAGCCAAGACAGGAACGTTGCGGTGCCGCACTAATTAAGAAATTAGTAAGTAATAATTATCAATTATTTAATTAATAATAATAATAATAAAAATAATAGTCAACCTGCTTTTCCATGGTGTCGGAGCTAGGTCGTTTTCGTGGCGCGCGCTTTGTCAAAATGGGGCACCAAAACACACCCCGAATCCCTGAAGCCTAAACCTTGCACCCTAAACCCTAGTGGCTCAAACCACTAGACACTACAGTCCTAGAAGCCTAAAACCAAAAGCCCGAAACCTCATCCCAAACCCTAAAACACTGCCCAAGACTGAGCCCTAAACCCTATAGACCCCCTTGAAACTCTTCAACGAAGCCGAATTCAATAGAACCCCACCCCTATCATAGAGCCCAAAAAGGGTCAGCTTGGAATACAACCCCGTTTAAAGGAATGCACAGTCTCACCCTACCTTTCAGGAGGCGCTCGACAAGGCATCGGCTGGGCTGACTGCAGACGGGGTCCGAAGTTGCAGTTTGGAAGTCAGGCTTTTTTGTAGGCAGGATTTAATCTGGAAGTGACTGGGTGTTAAGGTGTTCTTGCTAGTTTTGCAGAGTTTGGATGTGTTTGGGCTTCAGAGCGTTTCATATGGGGTTTGGTTATCAGGGGGAGCCTTTTTAGAATAGAGGGGGCCCCATCGGGGGCATCTTACTAGAATGGTGGGTCCCGTATTAACGGTTCCGCATATTATACACCCGACTAGGTCTCCTGCTTTTTTGACGCTTGAAAGGTCGGGGCACTTAGTAACAGTTAAAGGGCTTGGAGTTTAGGGTTTAGGGTTGGGCACTTAGTAACAGGTAAAGGGTAGAGTTTGGGGTTTAGGGTTGCCACATAGTCAGAGGGGATACCACGCAGGGTAGGATTCAGCCATGGCTACATGGCTACATGTCGGCCGACCCCTGCACAGAGGATTGTACACCGATGCTGGCACGCTAGCCCTGGATCGGTGAACCGACTGCACATGACTGCACATCCCATGTCAGAAAAATATCAGGCCGTGAAATCCGACATCCGCTGCTCTGAACCGCCAAGGTTTCTTGAGTCTTGAGGCTCAGGAGTTAACGGCAGTGCCATTCCGACTAGGCAAGGAGGATAGGGGGCTTCCAAATCAAGATGTGGAGCCACCAGCCAGGTAATTTCATGATTTCTGGGAGCCGTTCTCACGCTTCGCTGCGAAGCTCCTACACCGCACACTGCACCATCAGATGTGGATTGTCCTCTGCCTTGCAGGCAGCTTGACACCGCAAAGAGAGAAATCTATAGTCGCTTTGCAGCACACGCAGGTGACCGTGGTTCCTGGGAATGCAAAACCACTTACTGAGGATGCAACCGACATCTCTTCGTCGATACTCGGGTGATGGTCACTAAACCGATAAAGAAAGCTCTGGAACCAGGCAGCAGCTGCCCCGAAAGCTATTTGGGAGTTTCCGAAAATAAGGGGTACCTTAATTAGGGGTCCTTATAATAAGCATCCTACTATTTAGGGTACTATATTAGGGTCCCCTATTTTCGGAAACCCCCATTTATTCCTAAACTCGAAGCCCCAGCACTGCTGTTGAGAACCCTTGGCGTCGGAGTCCATATGCTCGCAGATCATGCACTCCGAAGAGGGTCTCTTTGTGAACCATCCGAACTCACCTTCCTGGCTTTCCAATATGCCGCAGCACACCAAGGAGCCGTCATGCTTGCTTTTAGTTTAGGTTTAGGGTTTAGGGTGTGGGCTAGGAGGGATCCTACTACCCGATCTTCAGGGAAGTCTATTGGTTTGCGACATCCCTCCCCATGCTTCGTCTGGAGATCCGCTTCGATTAAGATGGGTCAGTGTCCCCCCATAGCGGTAGCTTCAAACCTAGATCAGAGGTTCATGGAAGTTGAGCACCGGGATCCAACACAGACTTCACTTAGTAAGTGAGGTACATCTGTCGCAAGAAAACAGGCAAACAAGAGAACAAAGTAGCATGCTTCTCATTGTTGAGTATGGTCAGAATCTAGTATGGCAATTTAAGGAGTATCATGGCTACAGCACCACAGGACGAAGAATAAGAGTGATCGTTTCAATGGTAAAGTCAGGATGGCAGGGTACAGATACAAAACGCATAAACAGTAAGTATATGGTGAAAAGGAACATTCCCCCGATATGCTTTACGCTGCGGCCACTTGTTGGTTGCAGTTTCCAGCGCATCCCGCTCCCGCGGCCGCCAGGCACTTGGACTTCAAATCGAACAAGACCGTGAACCCTGCATCCTAAATCCTTAGTTCCTGAACCCCAAACCCTGAACCGAAGCTCGAACGGCATGATCATCCGCAATCCTAATGCCGAGGTGCCCAACATGAGATCCCGCCACAGCTCTAGCCTTTTCAACCATTTCTCCCGCAGCCCAAGGTGGGATAGGCACAATGAGGGCGGTAATCCGGGTGCTATAATCGAAAAGCGTGCCAGAAAGGCCTGTCACGAATTGGATGTTTCTTGCTCCTCCGATACATTCGGCCGCCACGCGAGGATGTCTTCTGCGTCAATATGTTCTGCTTGGATCAGGCAGCCTGCGCCACCTTGCAGGGCTTCCAGAAAAAAGGGATTGGTTTCCTTTCGTTTAGGGTTTCGGGCTTTGCGGTTTGGTACATGGGTAGTTCTCTGAATTAGGGTCCCTTTTTTGGTCCCCAATATAGTACGGCACCCTCATAAAAAGGACCCCAAAATGGACACCAATTTAGAAAACTACCCACATGTTACGTGCACCAACTTCTCAGGCGAGACTGACACCCGCAGCCGTGACCGGCGTTCTTTTTTTCCGTCTGAAAATCTGGGGGTTTCCGAAAATAGGGGATGCTAATATAGTGTCCCAAATAGTAGGATCTTTATTGTAAGGACCCCAAAATCAGGTACCCCTTATTTTCGGAAACTCCCATCTGGCTTCCGGCCATCTCTAAGTCCTCAACCTACGGTGTAGGGTTTAGGGTTTAGGTTTTAGGGGTTTAGGGCTAGGGTTTAGGGTTTGGGGTTTAGGAGCCAATCCCTAAATCGTGGCCCTTTTGGAAGAGAAGCCCGCGTTTTGTGGATCTCAAGGGAACTGAACCCCACAATAAGAAAGGAACCCCAAGAGAAAGGCCTGAACTTCGCTTGGCGGCCTGAGCCGGCTAGGCCTACCAGACGCAAGCTTTGGATTTCCTTCTGCTCCTTGGTCATAAAAATATAGGGGCCTTACTAAGTAGAATAGGGTTTCGGGGCCCATGATACGATAATTATTATGATAAGGAACCCCTAAAATAGTATTGGTAATTATTTGGGCCCCTACATTAGATGTGTAGTAGTGTTTTGAGGACTACAGGATGCATTGGACTTGAGGCTTGCAGGGTGTAGGGTTTGGCGCTTTGGGATTACGGGGCTTGGGTTCGGGGTTGGGGTTTGGGGATTCAGGGCCTTTAAATCACGCCCGGGTCCACCCTAAAGCCTAAGCCCCTAAAGCCCTAAGCCCAGGATTGCAGGAGAACTGAGATTCCGGTCGACGGAACACAGCAGGTCTGTACTGTGTAAAGTATCGAAGTCCCAGTATGATCCATGGAGACTTCGATCATAAAGAGAATCTGGCCCGAAACCGTATACTTCGTGTCATTTACCTGAAGTAGTGGCTTGATCACCAAGGCCGGCATTTTCTCTGTTCCCCGACAAGGACTCAGGGCTTTGGATCTCGTACCAAGACTTGTAGTATGGTATGAGAAGGCGCATGGGTGCGTGTCTCTGTGTGTGTGCGCGTGCTATGTGATGTTGCAATATTGAGATGCTGGTGATCGTATGGCACTGACGCATTGCTTCGATGCTGTCGCTCGCATGTTAAGATATGGCTGTTGGGCGAGTTGGTTTGCTATTCATGTGTTATTACTAGCGACGGCTCTGGTGTTGCTGAAGAGGTTATTACAACGCACCGACACGTGGGCCAGCAAATAAACTGGTGGAAGTGTCTGCATCTGGGTCGCGATCTGCCTCGCCTGGTTGACTGACACTTCTTCTAGTGGGCTGTATATGGATGGGTCCAGGAACTTTCGGGACACCCCAAACTGGGGCCAAAACCCTCCCGAAGCATGTCCAAAAAGAAGGCCAAGTTTTGGGTTTGGTTTCGTATATTGGGAAACCCACAACCCCCAGTCCCCAAAATTCTACGCTCAGATCCCGCAGTCATTGCTTCGGGACCTGCGGTGAAGGACTACTGCATCATTACGCAGCCGCACACGGCGCCGAACTCTCCGCTTCTGAATGCGCCCGGAGCCCAGAGTTATGATTTGGGTGCTATACCTCCTACATAACGGTGAGATGATGATGGTGACGATGAGCCAGATCTTTTTTGTAGTAGTATTGTCGCTAGACATTTGAATCTCGTGATGGTGCATCAATTCCTTTGCTGGCACTAGTCTTAGGTGCGCTTGGAGAACAGACCTTTGGCCTTGTGGCCCATATGAGCACGACGTGGTCAATTGTCCTGGATGTTCCCTGATTGACAAGCAACAAGATTGACGGATGACGATTCCCTCTGCACCTTTGGGTTTGGTTGGTAGTGTCTCCCTTGTTACATGTAGGAGCCTTAGGGACGTTCGATGCAGCTCAGCTTCAAGCCAGCACTTCCTGAGCCGGCCCCCCTCGTTCGATGCCCCCTGATCTGTCTGCGTAACTGCTAAAGTTGCTACGCTGGCACCCACGCTGAGGTTTTCGATCGTGCCCCCGCAGCCGCAGAACACCTTCGGTGCCCTCCTTACTTTTTGGGTAGCCGGGCAGTTGGCTAATTTTGGCCTTCGTTAAGGGCTTCCAACAGATGGTCTCGAAACACCTCCCCGTCAGCTGGACTGGATCGAGAGTCCTTCGGAGCGCATGGGTCGAAGGACCGGGAGAAGAGACTTCAAGAACCAAGCCCGAAGTCTAGCAGTTTCTGCACCCATGAGGCCATGTGCTCTTCTTGATCCATCGAGCCGCACTGTTGGGGCCGCCTCAGGCCTGTTGAAACTTGGGAACGTGGGGGTCTTGAATTTACTCCTGCTGTTGCTACTCTTAGTTCGAGAGCCATGCCGGTGCACCATCAACATCCTGTAGTGTGTGCTTGGATTCGGGGGTTCAGGTGCACGCTTTCAAGACTTTCTTGGGTCTATACAGACTGAAGAAACAGTACCCCGAGCCATGAAGCCCTAAAGCCACAAGCCATAAACAAATCAGCAGCTGTGTCTTCTGACGCCGAGTAAGTATAAGCTTGCATTGCACTCCTACGGACACTTGCAGAAGGAGCCGTTCTGAAGAGTTCTTGAATCGTTTATATAACTGAAAAAGGCGCACCCTGAACAAGGATTCGCTTGCGGATTCCACCCGACCTGGTCGGAATAGCCCAAGAAGCTTCGGAAGTTTGGCTGCGGGGCGACGTGTTAAGGTGTTGGTGTTTGAAGTTCATAGCTTGTGGATGGGGGCTGCCTGCTTGGGTTTTTCTTGGGAGGCGTTGGTTGCACACGGAGCCCACAGCCCTAGGCCCCAAACCCGAAAGTGCATGAGGCCAGGCTTCAGGACATGGTGGCATTCCACTGATTCTTTGGGCCAGCTGTTCATTCCCTGAACCCGTTCCTCGAAGGTGTCGCTTCTAAAGCCTCACCTTCTCGAGAGCGTGAAACCGCTTCTGGAGGCCTGGGGCCTCTTTGGGAGTTCGGGGTATCGGAGGTTTTTTTACGGGGCTTCATTGGGGATGGTAGAGTTTCATAAAGGTGTTAGACTTCCTAAGGGGTTCTGAGGGGTTTGGGGTGTGAGTGTGAGGGTGTTAGAACTTATGGGGCTGCATTCGACTTGACAAGATTCTGACGGAGATGTGGCTAGGAAGAACCAGTCTAGGGCTTGAGGTGTTGTGATCTCGAGTTCCCCAAGCCCTCAATGTCAACAAGGCTTTATCTATGCGGAGGGAGCACTGGGTTCACTCACAAGACATATTTGGCCGGAATAGAGCATTTATCCCCAGTATTCATCACCGACGCCGTGGCAGCGAGCTCATGTGCACCGTGCCACTGTGGAACCTCCGCGCACTCATCACATTTAACGTGCGGATCCTATAGTGTTGCCACTGTTTGGTGGACTAATTACACTCTGCACCGCCTGCCTTAATCTCGAACGTCGAAACCCGAGACCCGAACCGCGCAGCAGTTCGAAAATTGCCGGGAATACTCACCATAAGCAACAAAGGCAACAGCAGCGATGACAACTATGACCCTTGGAATTCGCGAACAGCTGAAGCCCCAGGTTTTTGAAGAGGAGACTCAGAAGGACGACGCGATGCACTGCATCACTGGAGGGTTTAGAAATCAGAGCTTGCGGACGGAACAGTTCTTTCGATTGCGAATTGCGATGGTATGTTTCATCCTGAAAGTAGCGTTCCGGACGTTTCTCGACATGTCGGGGGATGCTAGGCAGCAACGATCGTCAAGGTCGCACGTGAAAGCTGCGTAGCGGTTGATACGCAGCGGGTAGACATCCAGAGCTACCTGGTTTGGTTCTGTGTTCCTTCGGCAGGACCAAATAGTAGAACCCTTCTCCCCCAGACTAAAAGGATTGCGGGCCAGCTGCAGTCTCTCTCTCTACTCTACTGCTACTAACTGCTACGAAGGCCTCAGCCTAACCTAGACCCCAGACCCACAACTGACAAGCCCTAAACCTTTCAAGCCTATTTAAATCCTAAACCCGAAGCCCAACTCTGGCCTTTCAGGAGATTATGAAGGAGTGCCAGACCTATATCAGAGCAGCGGGCTGAATCCGTGACATGTTATGTCTTTCTCTGTGCAGGTGCCAGGCTTGTGCAGTGGTTGGCATAGCGGTGCACAATACGCATGAACACATAGTAAACACCCTCTGAAAGCATGCATGCTGTTTTATGGTAGCGCTTTTGTCATACATGTGGTTCAAATGCATCACTGAGTATGTATGTATGTATGTATGCATGTATGCATGTCCGTATGTACTGCAATGTAATGTAATGTAATGTAATGTAATGTAATGTAATGTAATGTAATGTAATGTAATGTAATATAATATAATGTAATGTAATGTAATGTAATGTAATGTAATGTAATGTAATGTAACGTAGCGTAATGTAATGTAATGTAATGTAATGTAATGTAATGTAATGTAATGTAATGTAATGTAATGTAGTGTAGTGTAACTTAATGTAATGTAATGTAATGTAATGTAATGTAATGTAATGTAATGTAATGTAATGTATTGTAATGTAATGTAATGTAATGTAATGTAATGTAATGTAATGTAATGTAATGCAATGTAATGTAATGTAAAGTAATGTCATGCGATGTAATGTCATGTAATGTCATTTATTGCGATGCAATGCAATGTAGTGTAATTTAATCCTATTAATCATATATGAACATTGGAGCTTTCATACATACGGTACGGACAAGGATTACGGGACTGGGAGGCAGCGGCGAAGCTAGCTTCCCCAGCACCGGGACCCTCCTAAAGAAATGCTGATCCTGATGAAGCACAGATGACAAGCCTGATGACCAGATATTGAAGTTGATGATGCTAAGCATGATGTGATCCCTGCTGATGAAAACTGTGGTGGTCACGTCAATGCAGAAAAGGTTGACGCACCATGGTTCTGGTCGGTGTTCCAGCTTCATCGAGCATGCTCACCAGAATGTGTTGACGCGACATCCCCAACAGTTCAACAACACACAACCGCTCCATCGTCACTAAATTATCCCCACATTTTTACTGAGTAATACTTACAGAAGGGAACCATTTCGCAAAGCCGATCACTGTAAACATGACAGCCACATGCCAGCAGCCTAATCGTTATCATCGTATATAATACTCGAGTGCTTTATCATCAGCAGAAACAGCATATACAAAGCATCAGCATCAACCCGATTTCGATCATGAGTGTCATACTCGTGACGGTTATCGTCGCATTTGTAACCATCGCCACCATCGTTGGAAGTTTTTCGAAAGGCTCACGTTGATAGTTACCTCTGGGAAAGGATCTGGTCTGACACGGAGCGCAAGTGGTACATGCAGTTGTTACTTGTTCTTGCTGGGTTTCTGCAACGCAAGCCTGCCTGCAATCGAAGGAGCACAGAAATAGTGATCTGGAAGTCTTCGTGGCGGAGTTTGACGAGCAGGCCGGAGCGGGGCATGCAATTCGGCCCTCTGCTATGCAGGCTATATCCCCGTGTTAGCAAGTTGAACAAGAATCCCCACCACTTTTGTCTCAAAGCCAGCAGAATACCTATAGTCTCCATTGTAGTTCCTTTTTGGGGTTACCTTTTAGGATCCTCAATATAGAATTGGTTAAACCAGAAAAAGGAACTACAATGGAGACTATAGGTATTTTAGAACAGAACCGAAGGTCCTCGGAC